ATGGAATCTGTCCATCCACAAACGTCGACTGTCATATTTTCTGGCAACGATACTTTTATCTTGTTTAATAACTTTGTCAATAAAACTGCAGCGCAAAGCTCTAAACGGGGGAGCGTTAAGGGCTTTTTGACTGGTGCAAGTTTTGTTTTTGCAGCCAGTAATCTCAGAAATATTTTACCCTTGTCATCCATTGTCCTAGTATACACCGCACAAGCCATGGCCTTCTCCGAAGCGTCAGAAAATCCATGCAGCTGGATAGATTTTTCTGTATTTCCTATCCATCTAGGTATTTCAAACTTCTCTATCTTCCTTAAATCATTCCGTAATTTACTCCACTCTTGTTTTATGTTCGCGGGAATCTCATCATCCCATGCTATTCCCGTAGACCAAAGTTGCTGAAATAAAATCTTCAATTTGATTGTAATAGGTGCGAGCCAACCAAGTGGATCAAATAACTTAGACATATCGGATAGCATCATCCGCTTGGTGTATTTGTCATTTGTAGTGTAATTTATTTTGTTGTCAAATGTGAATGAATCCGACGTTGGATCCCATTTAAGTCCTAGGGTTTTAGTTGAGTGTGCACATTTGAAATCGATGTTAGTCATACTCAATTGATCTGAATGTAAATGACTAAGTAGCTCAGGCGTGTTACTAGACCATTTACGCAGATTTATTCCTGCTCCTTTTAACATATCAATCAACTCCATTTGCGTTTGTTTTGCAATGTCAATATTATTATTTCCTGCCAATAAATCATCCACGTAAACATTTTTCAGCACAATGTTTGCGGCTAACGGGTATTTGTCTTTCTCGTCTTCAGCTATTTGCTTTAATGTTCTTAAGGCTAAAAAAGGTGCTGCCTTAGTGCCGTATGTTAATGTGCATAGCTGATATTCTTCTAAACATTTGCCATTTTTCCAGACAATTTTTTGGAGATGTTGGTCATTTTCATGAACTGCGATCATTCTGTACATTTTCTCACAGTCAGCAACGTACACATATCTGAAGGTTCGCCAGTTGATCAATAGTCCTTGGATATCATTATGTAATTTCGGGCCACATTCCATCAAATCATTCAAACTATAACCTGACTTTGTTTTGGATGAGGCATTAAAAACCACACGTAATTTCGTTGTCGTGGAGTCTTCTTTGTGTATGTCATGGTGGGGTAAAAAGCAATGAGGTTCCCTTTTCTCCACGCATTTCTTCATGTGTCCTAGGGCTATATACTCGTTGATAAACTTATAGTAGTCTTCGTGCAATTTCACATTCTTTTGTAACCTAGTGTCTAAATGGTTTAACTGAGCAACGGCCTTTGCTTTGGATGATCCGAGATGCTGTTCAAAATTTTCTATCATCGGATAGCGCACTTCATATTTTCCATTTGGTAATCTTCTTGTGGTTGACGTATAGAAATCTTCGCACCACTGCTCTCTATCAGTTAATGCATTCTTCTCCATCACCTCCTCCATCTCCCAAAATCTTGACATATCCTCATTATTGTTCACAACAACATGACAGTTGAAGCTTGTCAGACGTGTATTTCCGGATAAAATCCACCCAATTCTTGTCTGTTGCGCTATAGGTTCTTGGGTTGATCCTCGTAATAATCCACTCATAATTATCTCAGAGTAGACTTTCACGTCGAGTAGAATGTCAATAGGACCTGAAATGTAATATTCGGGATCCGCTAATTGAAGGTTTTGTATATGAGGATAGTTTTTCTTCGTAAATGATGCATTGGGAGATTGTTAATAACTTTTGTCATTATGAGAGCTTCTGTTTCAAATTCGTATTCATCATAGATAGATTTACACTCAAGTACCAACATGCCCTTGCCTTTTTTAGGGGTGACGCCTACACCACAAACCGATGCATTAATGTGTTGACGGCGAAGACCCAATCGTTGCGCTGCATTCTCTGTGATAAGGGTGATCTGTGACCCTTGATCCAAGAGTGCGCGGAAGGTTATGTAGGTACCATCTGAGGCCTTTACCTTAATTTTTACTGTTGTTAATAATATTTCGTCATTCTCATTGTCAACGTGATTTGCATTTTTGTTTACGGGGCGGGATGACGAAACCGAGGTTGATGGCATCAATGTTTCACTAAAAGCGTCATGTAGCAGCGTATTATGCTGTTTATTACAAATTTTGCAGCGTTTGTTGGAATTGCAGATTCCTTTTTCATGTCGATAAAGACAATTTTTGCAAATATCATATTGTGAAATGGAATTTAGTTTGGTTTCCGGTGGCATACTTGCAAACTTGTGGCATTGATACAGCGCGTGATCAATATTGCAGAATGGACATTTGTCACGTTTATAATTGGTATAATATGCCCTGGAAAAATTATGTTTATGAGATGCATTTTGATCTCTTTTGTCACTTTTGTCAGACGGTGTCACGTGTTTTCGGTACTTATGCACCAAGTCTTCTCTTTTGCGAATAGGTTCTAATGCAGTAAACTTGAGTTCTAATGCAGTAAACTTGAGTTCTAAAAATGAGAGGAACTCTTCTATTTTTGCTAACTCACGCGGATTTTTTCTTTGTTCTTGATAATCTTGATAAGTTTCACTGTCAAGTTTCTTCGTTAACAGGTGTACTAACAGTGGACCCCAAGTTGTCATTTCCACTCCTAGATTTTGGATGGCGTGCAAGCATTCTTTGCTTACATCATGCAATTTCTTTATCTCGAATGCTGTTTGTTTTTGAACAGTTGGTTGATTCAGAAAAACTTCGATTTGTTTAGTGAATAGTAGTTGTTTGTTGTTATATCGTTGACATAAAATATCCCATGCGGTATCATAATTATCTGTCGAGATATGGAGATGTTGAATGAGTCTTTCAGCTTCACCTTTCAACTTACTTTTTAAATGTTGCATCTTTTGGGATTTAGTCAGTGTATGATTATGATGAATAGTCTCTTTGTATAGATCTAAGAATGTCGGCCAATCAGTATAATTTCCTGAAAATATAGGGATGTTCATTTTAGGTGTAGAATCTTTAAGGTGCGCAGTAGATGATAATTTCCGATTGAGACTTCTCTTGATCTCTCTGTATTTCATCTCATGCTCGTTGTACTCATCTTCATACGCCAGGTCTGGCTCCTCCAGTAAGTTGTCAATTTTCCAATGCAATTTGTCAATAAATTCCCAACGTGTTTGTAAGCTACGAAGTTCATCTTCTAATTCCCATTTCTCTTCTATTCCCTCTACATCACAGAACTGAACTTGCCTACTAAGGGCTTTAAAATTCGTTCGCTGTTGGCTGATTAGGCTACTCAATTTAGAAGATTCGGGTGCATCTTCATCAGATTCCTTAATTTCGGACGGTTTTGGCATCTTAAATGTCGCCACATTGAGTCTTATTCCCTCGTAGTACTTCAGAGTTTGCTCATACAGATTCCTCACGAAATATTCATGGGACTCGTCTTTAAATGTCAATAACTGATCATGATTAAATTGGAAATCTTCCCACAATTTATCCAATCTCTCTAATTTCTTAATAAGGTATTCAGTAGTCTTCCTACTGGATGGATCCTTTTTAAAGTTAATATTTTCACGTTCAAGACTTTTGATGAGCGCCTGCTGGTTATTAAATAGAGCCTCCATGTTTCGTCAAAAGGTCCAGAGTCTAATATAACGGAACAGTCTTACCTGGATGCAGCTGTCACTTACGTCACCTCTACTTGCGGAAAGTTGCGCCAAGCTGTATTCTGCACAGTACGCTGTTGGCACCAGACGACGTTGTTCCTTGTAGCTAATGATCACTTGTCACTCGTGTAATGCAGGGGCTCGTGTTGAACGTAATGTCACTTTACACAGATTGTCACAAGTTGTCTCAGAAAAGCGGGTTAGTTTCCCACTGGCCACACTATTTGCAACGCAAAAAAAATGATTGTCACTGTCCAATTGTCACGTGGCACGATTGAATGCACTGTAATTCACTGTCACTGATAAAATGACTTTCTGGCTTTTGTATAAAACGCGACGAAAAGTCATATATCCGGCTCGAAGGACCAAACTGTGCGAGCCTGCAATAGCTCACACAAGAGGAATGTCAATAGAATGTCACGGGAAGATTAATTAGAGAGAGTTTGTCAAATAAATTATACGTCAATACAGGTTGAATGCTTTTAATGCACTGTCCAACATGCGCTTGTAAAAATGTACATATTAATTAGGCCGATGTGGCAATAACCCTCGACAGTTAAAAATGCAAACAAACAAAAATATAATGAAAATGGCTTGTACATAGTGTATGAAGAAAACACCGAAATAGATTACAAATAATCCTATAAATAATTCGATGGTAATTGTTCGGATTGACAAAGCACCGCGCCGTGGTGCCGCAGACACGCCGCGACATTTAGCTCACGGAGCGGCCGCGGCCGGCGCACTGCCTGCACGACCCCATGCTAATGTGATGGGAACTCGACCAGCCAACACCGCCGACTCTAACGTTCACACGCCCGCCACTATTGGAAATATCAGCGATACATCATCTGATCCAGCTCATTAATTATTATTATATCATGAATGGCCCGTCCAGGCTTCGATTGAGTGTTAACGCCCAAGTTTCCCCGGGAAACCCCATTTCCCATTATTTTTATTTCATCAAAACGTTTTTCCAACAGTAGGTACTAATGACCGCAGAAAGCACTGTTCATGACCATAAACATAACAATAAATAAATAAATAAATAAATAAATTTTTGTATTGTAACTTTCGTGAGACATACTAAATAAATTATTATGTTTTCGGCTTACTCACGTAATAATTTGAGGAGGAACTCGACTAGTTTCAAGCCATGCTAGAGGCTCATATTCATGAGCAGCATTTCGCGACCCGCGACGCGGCGACTGTCGCGCCGCTACTGTATGCCTCTAGCATGACTTGAAACTAGTCGAGTTCCTCGTCAAATTATTACGTGAGTAAGCCGAAAACATAATAATTGATTTAATAATTTTTGTGCTTTTGTATCGATGCAAGATGTATGTTGTTACAGCTGTGCGTCGTCCTGCTGGTCGCGGCCATCGCGTCGGCTGTCGAGGAGAAGAAGAACGAGAAGCGAGGCTTACTAGGCCTCGGATACGGACTAGGAGGCGGCTTCGGGCACGGGTACTACGGGCACGGCCTCGGCTTGTACTCGCACAGCGCGCCCATCGTCAGCCACAGCGCGCCCATCATCAGTCACGGGTACGGGTTCGGAGGCTACGGAGGCTACGGAGGCTACGGCGGATTAGGCCACGGGTACGGACTGGGGCTGGGGCACGGCGTGATAGCTTCCGCGCCCGTCGTCTCGCACGGGTACTCTGCCCCCCTGCTCGCCGGCCACTACGGGGCGCCACTGCTCGGGCTCGGCCACGGCCACGGCTGGCATTGAGCCCTAGCCTAACATAAGTCTCTGTGAATGTACCTTTAGTGCCAAATTACTAAGTCTGCCTGGTGGTTGAATTGACACAAAATTATTACTTACCAATAAATGTTTCTCGTGTGATGTAGTGGTTTCATTGCAAGGGTTGAACTGTTAACTAATAATATCTATTTTTAAGTACAATTTGTTGCGAACTTTACGATGAATACAAAGAGAGCAGCGTTAACAGAATAGAATGCAATTATCTGACGAGTGCTAGCGCAGTACCGGCGATATTTCTTGGAAACTATTTATTTGTTTTAATATGATTTTATATCAACTTCAACGCCCTAGATCTAGTGATATGTCGTAACTAATAACATAGTGCTGTGTAATAACTAAGTACATAAGAGACACATACACATAGTAAGGTGAGGAGCTTAGGGCAGCACTTCCGTCGCTGATGTGATCACTGGCCCGATGTCCTCAATCCCGCATTACTAGCAAATTATGTGTTACCCTCAGTAGCAAATTAATTATTCATTAATTCGCCGGTAGATGGCGTGTCGCAACCGGAAGCAGCCAGCGACGCCGCGACGACGCTCGGAAGTTTGCGAAACAAGTCGCCGCGCGTTCATTGAGCGTAGTAGTACTAGTACTAGCTGCTAGGGATATTAGGTACACTAGGATCTGAGACCGACTGTGAACGAATTTTTAATATTAACTGGTTTACTTTAGCCAAGCTGTATAGATTTTCACAAGTTGTAGGTAATTGAAATATGATTATTAAACTTGGTGCTGTGTCGTAACTACTAGTAGGTATATGTATTAGAGTGCAGTACGTAGCAGTGTGTAAGTGTAACGAATGCTAGTATATCGGCGATATACTTCCTAGTTCCCACCGCAGTGGCTGGACTGGTTCTGTGTGACCCGGATAGTTCCCCGCGAGGGCGCGGTCCGGTCGCTAGCTGCAAAGTATCACGTTATGGCGGCCACCGGCCACACGTGTTTCATAATTCACCTACTCGGACTCGAATAAGCTGTCGCTGTAACTCAGTGATGAACTGCTCTTAAGTTCATAGGTTCGATTCCTGGTGTAAAATTTATTCAGATTTGAATCAAGCTTTCATAGACCATAATGTAGTTTTATTACAAGAACGACTTAGAATAAAAACAGTACTTATTGTATTCAGGCCATACTTAGTAGATTAAGCCATGTTATCTCTCCTAGAGACATTGTTGGTTGGCTAATCACGAAGGAAGTGTAACAACGTCTTCGTTGTCAAAAGAAAATTCCTGTAATTTGACATTATACAACATCACTTATTTGAAGCTCTACATCACACATACTCTCATACGATACTGGTTTCTAGTTACAGTCATATAAATCATGAGACACACTCGACAGTAGTCAGCAGGATCGTCGGGAATGGGCACACTGTTGCAACAACTTGCTCCATTTCACTTATACATGGTTGCAACATGTGCACATGCAGTATGTGATGGTGTGCGTCACATCAAATATATCACATGTTTAAAGCATCACCAGGTGCAGCAGTTATTGAAAAATTTGCTGTGTACGAGTATCTCCCTACAGGCCTGTTGAATATTAAAACTCTGGAAGGCTAAAATAGAGAGTAACAGGCCTAAACTTATGATTTTTAAGGCAAAACATAATAACAGGTCACAACGCAAACCTGTGGATTGATCCAATGTCTGACAGACAACAGAACTAATGTCCAAAACTAATCTTTGTTTGATCTAATTTCGTCCGTAACTAGTCAAAATCGTTTTGTTAAGCGCTACACTAGACCCTGTTGCTAGGATGGGTATTAGTAGGTAATGTGGTTAGGTATGGACATCAGCAGGGCCGCCTTAGACAACGCTGGGGCCCTTGCGCACACAACAATTCGTCCGCATTTGGAATGTTTCTCTTTTTGTAACGTCGCATCACACTAGAATTTTCTCCTGTATCATGGGTGCATTTACAAACATACAAGTTTACATACACATGACACCCAGTCCCGGAACAACAATTTGTAGATCACACAAAGATTTGGTCCGTGCAGGAATCGAACCCGCTACATGTTCCAGGCCAGCCGGTTGCCGCGCAACTTGTAGCGAGTGTGTGTCCATTATAGAAATTGTCAGTCCTTTGGGGCCCCCAGAGGATGGGGACCCTGGGCACGGGCCCCGATTACCCTTATAGTAAACACGGCACTGTACATCAGTACATAATATTCTAAGTAAAAGTGTAAGGTTACGCTGGCATTAACATGGGGGGGGGGGAGACTGAAGGGCCATCGCCGATACGTCTTGAATTAGTTCAATGTTCTTTGACATTATTTATGATCATTTACGAAATATATCAACAACATCGTTAATTATTTACTCATATTTTCAATGTCAAGTCATAATTAAAAGTTGATATGAAACTGAATGAATTAAGGTAGGGAGGTAGGTACTCAACCCGTGGCACACACTTTAATACCTACATACTTTAATACTTTATTGTAATGGGTAGTTCTGCATGACATAACATCACGCCTCTTATTCCCGAAGGGATAGGCAGAGGTGCACATTACAACTCTTAATGCCACAGTACAATGTAACACCCACATTTTACTACTTTATGTTATGAGTCCTATGTTATAGGGGGTGAGCCTATTGCCATATACCGGGCACAAGTCCAAACTCCCTGCTATCGCTGAGATTTTATATAGTTATGAGATTACATAAAAACCCAGTAATACTTTGCCTGACCCAGAAATCGAACCCGAGATCCCTTGCCCGGCAGTCGCACTTGCGACCTCTCGGCCAAAGTAGCAGTTTACGACTCCACGAGCAGTATCAGCGATGGGTAATTCTAGTAACTAGATAATACGTTTAGATACAATTCCAACAGTCCTGGCCTGGTCCAGGCGCCTGTTCATTTCCAAATACTTGATATGGTTTGACACAGCCATGCATATCTATGCTCGTATGATATCAAAACACTGCTTACGTACGTTGACCGACTCATTACTCACAGGACTTTCTAACAGAGGATTTAGTCATTTGATTTCTTGGTTTCATAATAAGTTAAATAGTTAAAACAGTGATTAGGATAGCTGAAATCTATACCCGTATCTGTATCGTACTTCGACATAAATAAATTTCATCTCTCGTTGCCTGACATTCTTGCAGCTCTGTGTACGTCTTATATAACTTATCTGTCGAAACTTATATAACATATAATATTTAATGTGTACTTTTTTTTTTAAGGGGGGAAAATCATCGAATGTTTGCTCCCGGCTGGGTGAGGCGGAAGGGAGTGCCAGACTCTTACTGACTAAAAACCACCCCGTTCCTTCTCCTGCACGTCGAGCCGGAGCCCCGGTTACCCGTTAGGTTCTCCGCGACATTTACTAGGACAACGAATACGGTTCTCTAAAATGCCGTAATTTTTCGCCTAGATTTATTTTGATATTAAAAAGCAGTTGTGTGTTTCGCTCTCATATTTAATTCAGGCACTTATAAATACTTTCATTATATTCTTTATAATTCAGTTTAAGTATGTATATCTATTGGTGCTTAATCAAAGATAAATTTCTATAAGAACTATGCGTCATATGGATATTAAATATTTATTATTTTTTGTCGGGATAGACACTTGTACAAAATAAGTATTGTGCCCAGTGCATATTTGTATAATATTACGTATGGCCACTATCTACATCTACAACTTTACCTTTTTGTGAGATCCATTTGATTGAATAACCTTAAACATAAAATGTAAGTTTATAAGATAACGGTGAGCACTTTGAATGGCTTTTTTGACACAGTTGTACGAGGAAATCGAACCCGTGCGAGGCAGGCAGCGCGACACGTGCGCGGCATTGTTCACCTCATAATACTTATGTAACTAATGATTTGTTGAATTATTACACTTAAGCAACTGATTCTTCCAACTCATAAATTAGTTTTGACCGTTTATCTAGCTTTCTTTGCAACAACCATCAAGAGACCGTTTTTCCTTACAGATTACAGATCATAACAACTTTATTACTGCATCCCGTGGGGACTTTACGCTATGACAAAGAAGTAATTGGTATCATATCCGATGCAATGCATTAATGGCCAAACATGGGTTCGCGAGCGTTGCCGCAGCCGCAGGCACGCCACGGTCGCGCGCATACTAATACGCACTGCGGAATAATCGGCTCATCAGCTATTCATAACTATGTTTATTGGAATGAACTAATGATATATGTTTTGGTTAAATTATAACTGTTACGTAAGAATACCTTTGGAGACGTTTCATCAGGTCTGAGGGCAGTTTACGCAACATTCAAATTAATCAAGTATTGGTATATATGAGCCGGGCCCGCATGGTGGGCGACAAACCTCTGGTGCCACCGACATCACACGCACTCACCATGAAACTGTTTGTGAGTAATGCTTTTGTTCCCTTGTTCCGTGTCTGTAGCGGCAGTAACGTAGTACTTGTGTTCCGGTGCCAAGAAGTGACGGGAATTACTCAGTATCAATAGAGTAACCTCAACTCGAAGTGTTTGTGTCGCGTCTGCGTACTTGTTCTGTGATCAGTTAGCCAGGCAGTGTAGCAGCCGGACAACAAGTTACTGTGCAGCGCTGCAACATGACTGCAGTCTGAACAATCACACATTACATAAAACTTGTTGCTCCTCAATCTGGTCTGCTCTCAACTCTCAGTGTTGAGCATGTTCTATTTACGGAGATTAGTTAATAGAATAATTGCATTACACAGTTAATCCGATTGCTAAATATAATGTGAATATTATTTTGATTTATTTGTGAAACAAGATTGATATAAATCCGTTATTGCCAAATCACTTAATTTATGAGTAGACATGGCATCTTTATGTGTTAGTTGGGGGTCACCTTGCCCCTGCGCTAGCTGTGTGACTATATTATCATGTATAACGAGTTGCTTAGCCTCCACCAGTCACACGGAATACATCAGCTGATTGCTAATGATTGCAGCTGATAATGAATTATAATTATTATGTAGTGATTACATGATGTTGACACGAGATGTTTGTATTGTTTATCAGGTGTGCACGTTGCTGCTGATAGCGAGCTCGTCTGCTTCGCGGGAGAAGCGCGGCATCTTCGGTGAGCCAGGCGGTCTGCTGGACGGGCTCAGTGGCCTGCTGTCAAAGGGCTCCCATTCTGGATCGAGTCACTCGCACAGCTCCCACAGAGCCCCACATTACTCGCACCACTCGCACGGGCCGCCCGCACACTCGCACCCGGTCGTGCTGCACGCCGCCCCCGTACACGCCGCACCGGTGCACATAGAGCCCCTGCACACCGAACACGTGCACCACTCGGCCCCGCTGCTGAGCTCCCACTCCCTGCACTCCGCCCCAATCCTAGAGTCACCTCCGTTGCCTTCTGCTCCACTGTATTCCTACGCTGAGCCGCTGCACTCCCACACTAGCCTACATTCAGCTCCACTGTCTAGCTCCTACGACCACTCCCCATCGCTGCACTCCGCGCCCATAATTGAAGCTGAACCTATACATCTAGAGCATGCAGCTCCCATACATTCTGCACCCCTCAGTGTGAGCCACTCCGCTCCTCTCAGTTTAAGCCACTCTGCACCACTAAGCTTAAGCCACTCTGCACCACTAAGCTTAAGCCACTCTGCACCACTAAGCTTAAGCCACTCTGCTCCACTCAGTTCAAGTTATTCTGCACCTCTCAGCCTAAGTCACTCGGCTCCCCTTAGCCTTAGCCACTCTGCTCCCCTTAGTTCAAGTTATTCCGCACCTCTCAGTCTAAGCCACTCTGCCCCACTCAGTTCAAGTTACTCTGCTCCCCTTAGCTTGAGTCACTCTGCTCCACTTAGTTCCAGCTACTCTGCTCCCATCAGTGTGAGCCACTCCACCCCCCTCAGACTAAGCCACTCGTCGCCCATTGGCTTATGTGGCTCAGGATGTAACTCTGGTTCTCACTACGCTAGTCACGCAACCCCCATACGTATCAGTCACATCGCTCCCTCTCACTCCTTGCACTCGGCCCCGCACTACTCCAGCCACTCATCGCTACACAACCACCACGGTTACCCCAGCCACCATGACCACCATGACCACCACGACCACCACGACCACCACGGCCACCACGCGTCGGCAGCACCTGTCATCATCAAAGTGATCAAAGCACCTCCCCGGTACGCCTCCGGCTGGTGGTAAACAACTCCTGCTGACACTAAAATAATGACACAATAAAATAATGCGGACCGCCTCTATGTGTATTATTTCTAGACTACCTGGGTTATACCTCACCTAATGACACTAATACCACAATATACTGTGTACTAATGTAAAACCACTTTTCATCAAGGGTGTTATCAATTCCGTGTATTAGGGTGTAGGTCTATTGTAATACACCGGGTGGAATTCCAGACTCTGAGTATTTGATGACCTGAAAATTTTCCGACATAAATCGACTCGCCATACAGTTAAATCCACGGTTTACACGCGAACGAGTATACGAGTATAGCGCTGCTACGTGCTACGGACTACGCGCTACGAGCGACGGATGTAGCAATTTGCCGCTAGTTAAGTGTTAAATTAGGGCTGGCTGTGCATGTAGGGTTAAAAACTTGGGTTTGATTTCTAATTACTTTTGGACAGTGCGAGCTATATTAGTATAATCTCGCCTTGACATCGTCTAACACGAGAATATTTTTGTGGGTTTATTATTTAATTTGATTGTGTTTCTACAGGACGGATGTCCTGATAATTATCTATGCATCTTATAATAATAATACTATGATATGAATATTAATCAGTTTATTATAAAACCAAAATCATTAATATATTTACAATATCTAGCATATTGTAAGTGATATGACCTCGCAATCGAGATTCATTAAGGTAAAATAGAATAATCTAGACACCAATGAATCATATACTTAACAAACACAAACATTTGTTTCTCATTAAAAATATCTATTTTACATGAATAACTCGACAACTTAGAAATGATATACTATGTCCCTGTACATTGAAGGCATTTCTTTGCATTTTAGGCAAAGGAAATAGATGAAATACATAACTTACGTATATTGGTAATGAGTATTTATTGCATTTACTATTGGTAAGATAATCATGTAGTACATACACTTGTCAAATATAATAGTGCCGCTGTTGCACTACTAGATGTCGCTAAGAGTCCTCTCTCCACCGACTGATGACGCCACAGAACATCTCCTTTATATGTTCTGTGGATGACGTTGTACTGTTCGTTTTTATGTTTTGAAAAATATTCACTTTTTACCACTACTTACTTCTACAAAAAACAGATATTACGTGTATATTAAATTATTATGAAGACGAAGCTTACTGTGCAACTGATTTGGGAGTAGTGTTGGATGTGTAACAAAAGATCTGCCTCTTATTATATTACACTGATACATAAATACAATGAGTTGAAACTGAGGACAAAATTTCCTTCACCCCTTTCGAATATAATGTTAAAAATTACCTATATTAAGTTGAAGTCTACGGGGAAATATCGCATTCTCAACAGATATATTTACATTACTCATTATCTAGAATTATACATCACTACTCTTAATATGTATATATTATCATAAATGTATTCGTTTATCTTAATAGGTATATTTTATATATTTTGGGCGGCCGTGAATTCAAAATTACTGCCCAAATTCTTTTGTCTTTTGCCTCATTGAAAGGTAATGATGATAATGTACTCATTTACAGAAGAGTGCGATTAAGAGGATTTGTCTATAAGAATCACATCGAATCTAAACGTCATCGCACACCTAACTAGCACACTCCGGCACGTCTCCAAACCAGCAATACCATTGTCATTGTCATTAACATTAACTTTAAATCGTAGGTAGGTCGTATGACATATTTCATAACGTCAATATAAAACAGGTCGCTTTCAACCTTTTTGTATTGTTTCCAAAGCATGAAACGCCGTGCTGGAGCCGTGCTTGTCAAGTGTGTGATGACATTTAATGTCCTTATATCATATTACCTCAAATCACAAGTAACGTAATGTTCGGTTACAGAGTTTGACTACTTATGTAGTCTAATGTACGTATTTATATTGCAGACAAACCTTGAGTCGTTTCGTTTAGGGAAAACCGACATGTCCTTCTGCGGAGATATTGTACATACGTCCGAATTATTGTGTAGAATACGTGTCAAGAGAAACATCTCGTCACATTCACACGCAGCGAGTGAAGTCGTACGCTAAGCAGGCGCGGGTTACTTCACACCTAAATTGTCTTACTGCCCAAATAACCCTACAACACACACCGTCGTCGCACTTTGCATACAGTTTCGTCTCCCGCCATATACGCCAGCTACTCGTTTTGTTACAACTTGCCAATATTCCATATCAGCTCATAGTAATGGTTCTGTATGTTACAATATTGTGTATATTGTAACATACAGGGAGTGGTTGCAAACTTACCTCGCAGTATTTGAGACCTCATCTACAGTGAGGTAGTTTCGTAAACTTTTAACTAATCTGTTAAGTGGCAGTCTATTTACAAAATAAGATTACTCTCAGTGTTCCAATTTCCATTTAATTAACTACACAAATTTATGAACGCATGTATATAATACGATTTTACGATATATTTAATATTATGAATACTAAGCGCATAATCAAATCTAGTGGGATTTTCCCATTATAACTTGATACGTATAATAATATTATAAATTCTTACAATATACGAGACTGTGCGTGTATGTATGAGAATATCATAATTATTTGCATCAAATTCGGCTACATTTTGTAAATATAAGGCCATTGATTGAAAATAATCCTAGTTTATTGAGATCGTGTCGAACCTGTTACAGCACTAACATCGAACCTGTGAACAGGAAGCGACTGCCACCGAGCGTCCGCCGCACTCGCCTTGATGTTTATTGAGATGCGATCATACAACGCCCGAGTTACCAATAGTTGGCCAGACCGGCCGACAGCTGTAATAATATACTACTGCACAGAGCTCCGGTACTCATAAATTCATAATTCATAATTCTCGACTAGATCAATAATTTTATTGAGATGTATGAATAAATAAAACAGTTAGTCATTATGTTCAGCTTGCCACATCTTGGCATTGACCACAGATCTAAAACATAATGAATGCGTTGGAGAAACAAATGACTACTGAGGCTATTCACTCAATAAAGGCTGTGTTTAGAATTCCTTCCACATTGTCCTCACTATCTACGATAAAAGTTAAATCGAATATTTGTTTTTTAATTCTATGGTCGTACATATACATTATTCTTTAGTCGTAAATGAAAAGTTTCTTTTGATACATAGAACAAACTTGAAACCTCGGCTCCATCTCTGTGTTAATGGATCTTTACATGGCTGCCGCCCAAAAAACATGTAATTTAATTAACAACTCTTATATTATAAATTGAATTGAATTATATTTGTAAATGGCCGCAGACTCACTCTCTAATACATCAACATAGTTGGTGTAATTATCGGTGTTACATTCTACGTTCACCCCTGTGTAAGGGAATTAAAACAAAGTTATCAATGTTGTACCTAACTATCACCTAGATCTATGTTTAGAGCTAAGACATGTCAGTCTCAAATTATACTCGAGCTAGATCTATTAAAAATGCTAATTTTCGATTCACTATTTTGGGAAGATCGTTAAAATTTCAATAGAATGCAAATTATTTGTTATTGTGGCCGACAACTAGTTTTGTGGTAGATTCTATTTGGATGTATTTTATTATTATTGTATTTAGTTAAACACTTAGTCGCCTGACGACCGAGGTGGCCACATAATGACCACAATTTGCACTTAATAACATTTGCAGGCCATTCATTAACGCTAACGCAATAAAGTGGCACTAGTGCGCCCGCGCCGACAGTGCGAGTCCTCTGTAACTGAACTCTGAAATGCGTAGAGATTAATGTAGATTACATAAAGTTACTCGCATTGTAAAATTCTATGCAGTTAAGGGGTACTATAGATTCTGATGTATCAATAGCAAGTACATCTCCTGGTCCTTACTGCAATCACTGCCCACGCGACGCACGCCATGCATGCTCAGCAGAGGCGCGGTGGTGACGGCCGGAGATGCGCCGGCGACGGCTGACCGCAGACCACCAGTTGGCCTTACGCTTACTTATTAGTATATAATTTATGATTAATGCGATCTGCTATACCTTCATATTGATTCCGGATACTAAGTTTTTGCCAAATTAAATAACCTTGCATACAAATGTCGATATTAAGATCATCCATAAAAAATGTATAATTCACTAGAATATTATCCAAATTATTAGACAAAAACACCTACTTGATGTTTAATTATATATAAAAATACATCTTTGCACTTTGTAATCATTTCCTATGTCGTTGTATTTTATTTAAATCATCCGCCTTCGCCCGTACCGCGCTGAATATAGTTTTACTTTGTCAACTAATATTATTACCAACGTTTAAAAAAACACATGACGTAGTTTTGAATCTAGATAATGTTAGTTTTTTTGCTGAATATTTTTAGAAAAAATATTAAAACTAACTTGAGGAAAAAATTTGATTGTATTATATTGATATTATTATGTTATTGTTAGACACAACACATCGATTAGATTAATGAAAATGAATTCAAAACTAAAGCATAGAGACGTGCATATAATTTATTACAATGCAGTAGGTATTTTATTACAGTAATATATCAAGATACGCTATATTCTGTCACTTATGATTAGTTTGGCAATAACTCATCGTCTGGTCTCTGCGGGTCTTACTAAACAAAGAGTAATATATCGGCAGCTAGTCGCTGTTTTAATCCTTTGATTTCTTAGGTCTTTTATTATTGGAAACATGGAAGGGGTGCTTCTTTGATAATGGTGGTGATGGTGACCACCTGGGTGGTTACAGTGAAGTACGAATACTAGGCTCTCCATAAGATAACTTGTAAAATCTTCAATTATACATATATTCTTACATGTCTCTTAAATGGACATAACAAGAGATTTCTTTCAGAGTCCACTTTTATTGTTACACACAGTGTGTAATGCAACTGACCGCACACATTGTGTTACTCTTGAAAGGTAAAAAGAAGACAATAAGTAAGTAATCGTAATAATCTTAATCTGTACCACATACAAACATCAAGGTCCATTCGATGGATGAGTAAACAAATAATTGAGATGTGGTTCGGAACCGTCCGACCTTGAAGTAAGCGACGAATGCTCGATGTTCAAGGGAAACACACAAGTAGGTCGACTGAGGTGAGGGAGTCGTACCTTCAGACGACAGCAGTACGTGGACATTGTTCCCATGTGGCCAGCAACGTAACTGTGCTACAGTATACTATGCTGATGGCTTTAAAATGACTTCAGTTGTTGCACAAACCACGTTTAATAAATAATTCCTGCATAAAAACACTTTAAAAAAAACTGACTTCAACCTCATTTTTTTAAATAAATTCATTAATATACTAAAACCTTCTCCTAAGCGTAACAAACACTTTACTGGAAACCGCATCAAAATCGCTACAGCCGATCGCGAGATAATCGTGCACAAACATACACACATACAGGTCATACTGAGAACCTCCAATTTTCTGTTTGAAGTCGGTAAAAAGTCAAGAAATTCGCACAGAGACGGTTCGTGATTCTGTGTGATTCTGTGTGATTTGTGTCCTGTAGGTCTGAGTAATGTTACCATGTCTAAGAGTCTACACCAATCAATAAAATGACTCGTCTTCACTTACAGTCGTTGAAGTGAAACATCTAAATATATGCTATTTGGTTGCTCAATGTGTAATACAGTACTTTGTGTACATACATCGATCGTAGTACATGGTACATGAAGTTGTTGTTATTTACTATTTAGTTTAGTGCAGTAGTTCTACGCGAGTCAGTGACCCAGTGGGAGGAGCTGCTCGCCTTCAACTAACGATGAGTAGGCAGCACATCGCACAGCAAGCCTCGACGTACATATCCTACCGGGGTACTATACATTGCTGCTTAGCTAAAGCATAATACACTACACGTCCATACAAAACCAGCAATAGGCCTTTAAGTGAACTAAAATTGGAATTGAATAATTTTGCAAAATCAGCAGGTCTTATTAAATTATATAGTTTGGTTAGATTCAAAATACGGATATATTTGGAACTGGTTCTACAAGTGTTTGGAACAATGTCTGTTAGTCTGGGAGTGATTATATCCATAATGAGATGGGTGTGCGTCTAATATAAAAGGACGAAGATGCATCAGTTGCTGCATACTGAGTACAGTGTTGCAACACTACGACATGAAGCTCCTCGTAAGTCAAAATATTTTATTGATTTTTAATTTTGATACTAATTGTAATAAGCAGCGAGTCTGTTTGTAATTGAGAGCCAAGATTTCTATATAATCTCATTGCATGCTATCCCTTATTGTGTTATGTAATAAATTGTGCAATTACACTTCAAATATTCAAAGTCAAAATCATTTATTTTAATTAAAACAGGAAGGCACTTTTGACCGTCAACAAAAAATTTAGAAGTGCAGTTATTTGCTCATTCCAAGGTATGGCTCATACCTATGGAGAAGAACGAGCAAGAAACTCCATAGGTAACAAACAATAAAAATTAAATAAATAAAAATAACCGCTAAACCGATTTTGTGGAAATAAGTTGTAAACTCATAATCAATCTCTTACTCTTACTCTTTCTCAATTTACAATTTTATTTATTTTATCTAATTACTTCTTGTTGAAACGGCAACTCTTTATTGGATCACAGCCTTTTTGAAAGTGCACCTGTAATTAAGATAAATCGGAAAGTTACTTCAATGATGTAAGTAATTTTCATTCCTATGATTATTTCCCGGCACCTGAAGATCTGATGGCACTGTGTACATTGTCAGTCGGTGACAATATCTTACATTGCAAATTGCAATTGTATCCAGAGGCAACAATTTGACGAAAATTTATTAAATTATTTCTTAACGCATGTTCTCATTTCGCTGATTCACTCCTATTTCACGATGCACTAGAGCGCATGCACACGTTTCTTAATTGTCGTAAATTTTAGAGTTATTGTATCATATTGGGACACCGCGGTAGTTGCTGTTAATTAAATGTATTAAATGTGTTGCGACATCCCACACACACACACATGTTCTAACATGTAGTGCATCTTGCAACCTGCGCCTGCGCCGTGCACTTATTGTAACAGTTATCTTCAATCTAAAGTGTTAGCAGTAAAACCTTCTCGTCTCATATAAATTATGAAATATACCTCAAATGTTTTTTATTTGATACTAAAACAGAGTTTATTTTACATAAATTCAGTTCAAAATTATGATTGCGTTAACAAACATAATGTAATAAGGTTATATTAACAGTCGTTGCCCTCGCAGGCAGTGTGCATTGTGTAGAGGTACAATAATGACAATTGTCGGACGTTCATGAGCAATTTGTTTAAGATGGGCGAAATAAAAAGAAAATTGTCGTCGTGTGTGTCCCGCGATACTGTAGAGATGTAATGTAGTGCAGTACGGACAGCTGCGCATGCGCTGGTGGTTGTGTAAGCCTCTTTGAGATAATTCGCGAATAACATCGACATGTCGCAACTTACAGTACACGTCACTAGCACTCCTCCGGGTGTGAGCTAAGCTAGGCCAGACATGTACGTAATGTTATTTTATATTAGTCATGTCGCATATTATATAGTTATACGCTACAATTAAAAACATTGCACACTTTGTCTTAGCTAAATAACAAGCCTTATGGTCGACGATCTTTCCCCATTCTCATGTGTGCACATTAGAGAAACGTGTTACTTTAAAATGAAAGGAATTGTCATTGCTTAAATATTGTTGTATTTGATTATTTCTTTATGTAAATCATATTAAAATGTCTCCAACATCTCTACGGTTCATTACCATACCACATCATTGAACAAACAGTTTAAGAGACGCGTTGATGTCTTTTGTATGGGACATAATTTTAAAGTACCATTATTTCCCTTTTTGTTCATTCATATTTTAGTAATATAGCAATAGAAATCAGTCGTTAACAGTTCATGATATTTGTACCTAGATATAATTATATTTATGCTTACAGGTAACGGTGGTCAGTTTGTTAGTGGCGCTGGCAGTAGTTTCTGCCGGGCACAATAAAAGGGGGTGGGGTTCCCATGTAGTGGCGTACGGGGGCGGTGGGGGTGGAGGCTGGGGCGGCTCGGGCGGCTCGGGCTGGGGTGGACGGCGGTCTGGATGGAACGGTGGTGGTGGCGGGTGGAGTAATGGCTACGGATGGAACTCTGGTGGCTCCGGATGGCGAGGCAAGTCTGGATGGAGCGGCGGTTCTGGATGGCAAGGGGGATCTGGATGGAATGGCGGTTCCGGGTGGCAAGGACGATCTGGATGGGGTGGTGGTTCTGGATGGCAAGGAAGTTCCGGGTGGAGCGGCGGTTCCGGCTGGGGAGGCTCCGGCTGGAAGGGAAAATCTGGATGGGGAGGATGGTAATAAAGAACACAAAGCAAATTAAGCAAACCAGAGCACAGAGTCTACTTTAGCGTCATAAGATTACGTGATCCTCTTCAATCGAATTTATACATCATGTGAAATAAATTGTTTTTAAAAACTAAACGATCTTCTTCAATTATCCCTACCCTGTCACTCGTGTGGTACTAGACAGTACAGCGGTCTGCAATCATAAATAGTTAACTAATCTCTTTATAATTGAAATAACATATATTCAAGACAGTAATTGCTTCAATTAATTAATAGACATTCACTGTCAACAACAAGTAACTCAGTGACAAATATAATATATGTCTCCCATGTATGTGAGTTCGTTCACTTTCGATCGACTAACAGTTGCACAACTATTGCTGATCTCACACAAACGCGCCATTTGTGTGTCCAATTACAAAAACCAATCAACTGATAACATATATATGATGAAAGTGCCTCAGCTTTAGGTAATCGCTCTAGATCAGTGATCAGTCTGTCTGTTCCTGAGTCTGACGCATTGAGATAAATAACAATATTTTGAGAATACAATCATATAAACTCTTTGCATAGGTGCATTGTCATGGGCATACTAGAAGTTTAAGAATTGACAATGACAAATATATTACATTATATCATAGACTAAATAACATGCAATGCGTTAAATAAGACAGCAGTAAAATTGAATGTTGACATTTATATCAAAGATCTGCGACAGATTTACATAACAAGTATTCCGACGTTGAATGTAAACATTGTGTCGTGTAGCGGCCAGCTGAAGTGATGGTAGCGGCCAACCACTGAATGCCTTGTAATACAAGTACATCCTCATAATAAAATTATCAATTTAGGTGGATACAAGCATTTCATAATATCTCGTACTTCCTATACTTCTATAAAGGTTCGATTCGGGAGAGAAATTGAACACGTCCAGTTAGCAACGAATATGATTTATTACTCCCCCATAATTGATACTTACATTATTTAATATACTCTTAGAATCTAGGAATAGCATGACATCATTTCATAGGTTCCACTATACGCCCAACAAAAACAGAAAAAAAAAATTACGTTAAGTATGTTTTTTTTTTATACATAACTATGTAGTATACAATATTTAATATAAATCTATTATCATTTAATATATAGTTTTGTCCTGTTTTTATGTATAATTTCGGCTTTATTATTTCGTAAAACTTTAACATTTGGATCAAGATCTTCTAAAACTTTGAAAGGGCCATGGTATACATTATCAAATTTATTTCCTGTTTCATTCTTAATTAATAATAAGTCACCTTTGTTATACATCACTGGTTTTAAATACTCATCAAATTTACATTTTCTTTTTAATTTACTTTTGATTAAATTTTGTCGTGCTTCACATTGCGCTTTTTGTAATTTAAATTTTAATTCTAAAGGGTAACTATCTATGTTATATAAAGGATCAACAGTACAATTTTGAAAATTACTAGGTATATTACATGACTTTCCGAATACTAGCTCGTAGGGAGTATACTTTGTTTCCGAGTGTACAGAGGTATTGTACGAGAAGCACCAATAAGGGAGCCATTCACTCCAATATCTACTGTTGTTGTCTGTCTGAATTCTCAAATAAGCGTTAAGTGACTTATGCGAGTTCTCAAGTGAACCTATCGATTCATGATGGTAAGCACTAGCAAATGTTTGTTTAATATTTAGCAACTTACATACCTCAGTCATAGTACTAGAGATGAACTCGGTTCCCCTGTCAGTCGCGATCTCACGAGGGATGCCATACCTGAGTATAAAGTTGTCTACAAATGCTCGTGCTACACTTACGCTATCCTTTCTTACTAATGGATATGCTTCTACATACTTACTTAACTCACATTGCAATGTGAGGATATATGAGTAACTATGATAATCCTTATCTAAGGGCCCAACTATATCTAAATATATTTTATCAAATGCTGACTGCGCAGTCGTGGTTATTACCATTGGTTGTTTTGTATGCAACGAATGCTTTTGTTTTTGACATTTGTCACATTTTTTCACAAATCCTATAATGTCTTCTACCATGTTTGGCCAAAAGTAATAACGCTTTATATTATTTTTCATACGTTTAATACCTGCATGCCCGCTAGTGGGAAGCAAGTGAAAATCATTTAATATTACCCGTTTATCATCGTCATTTGTTATTCTTATTAAATTCTTCAATATTAAAATTCGTGGACCGGTCCAATCATAATTCCTAATATATTTGGTTAACCATTTTATATATTTCTCATTCATCTCATTTTTAATGATATAAACTTCATCAATTGATATTTTTTTACAGATAGATTCCAAATCTCTCACGAAAGCGTCTCGCGCTGAGCATGATCGAGAAATTGGGTCTAAATAAATTGTCAATTTAGATGGTACATAAATAAAGTCATTTACTTTAATATATTTACTGTTATGTTTTAGTATACACCGAGAAAATATTAATTCAGTGCAATTATTCGGCTTTTTAAGAATTTCAACGATTTTCGGTTGATCAGACCGACCATCTGTTTTGTTCTTATCGACCGAAGAATTGTCATCTAATGTTTTTTTGCCATACTTCGTGTCATGACATTTAAGACATTCTGATTCATATTTTTTAATTCATCGGATGTAATCACGATGCGAGATAACGCGTCTGCAGCCACGTTATTCACCCTTAACATATTCAACTTCGTAGTCGTACTCATCTAAGGTTAATCGAAACTTTATTAGTCTACTGGACGGGTTATTGAAACCAAATAAATAAAGTAAAGGTTTATGGTCTGTTTTGATCTTAAACTTTTTACCAAATAAATACGGCCTAAAATATTTAACGGACCAAACAATAGCAAGGAGTTCCTTTTCTATTGTTGGATAGTTTAACTCGGATTTATTGAGCGGCCGGCTTGCATAAGCAATCGGCATATCATTTTTATTACATAACACGGACCCTACAGCTACACCAGAAGCATCCGTGTGCAATATGAATTCATTATCGTTCTCAAAATTTGGATATTGTAAAATGGGTGGATTGGCTAAACATTGCTTTAACAGATTAAATGAACGCTCACATTCTGTATTCCAAATAAAATGAGTACCTTTCCTGCATAGTCTATTCAAAGGTATTGTTATATCAGCAAAGTGTGGAATAAATTTGCGATAGTAATTCGCGAAAGCAACGAAACGTCTCACTTCGTCACTATTTTTGGCGTGGGGTAATTTTGTATTACTCGTGTTTTTGTAGGGTCAGGCGAAACTCCATTAGCAGATACAATGTGGCCTAGATACAGTAATTCTTTCTTCAAAAACTGACATTTTTCAGGGTTAATTTTTAGATTTACCCTTCTAAGCCGTTCAAAAATATCAATTAAATTCTTATTATGCGAATGTAAGTTGCGTCCTATACAAATAAGATCATCCAAATAGACCAGACATTTTTCATGATTTAAACCAGACATTGCTACCGTCATTAACCGACTAAAAGCACTTGGGCTGATTTTCAAGCCCATTGGGAGTCGCTTCATTTGATATTGTTTGCTTGTAGTAAATGCAGTGTATTTCCTACTTTCTGGACATAATTCTAACTGATAATAACTTTGGCTAAGGTCTAAGTGGCTGAAATAAATTGCTCCTGATAAAGAATCCAGTATATCTGAAATATTTGGTAAAGGGAACTTATCGTCTTTAAGATTATTATTTAATTTCCGATAATCAATAACAATTCGCCATTTTTTATTACCGCTATTGTCACATTTTTTTGGCACTAAAGAACAGGGCTAGACCATTCACTCGTACTTTCCTCGATAATGTCATTACGTAACATATCTTGGATTTGTTTATCAATCTCAGTTTTTTGACTTTTAGGGAGCCTATAGGACTTGGTGTACACTGGGTTAGTATTTTCTTTCAAATGAATTGACTTTTATATAAATTGGTAACGCCTAATTTGTCGCCTGGTAAAAAAAATACATCTGAGTACTTTGCACAAATGTTTTCGATCGAAATTTGTTCTTCTTTATTTAAATGCTTTAAATTCAATACCGAAAATAATTGTTTCACACGATTCGCATTTAAGTTAAAACTTTCAAAAGAACATACAAAATATTCATTTAAAGGCACAATGTCGGGCGTGAAATAACTTAAGCATATGTCTGTCTCTCGGGTGTTTAAAAATGTTAATGGTATTTTACCATCTATAGGTTTTACTAAAACAGACGCTAAAAATACGCCTTCACTTAACTGTTTAGACATAACAACACCTTCATTTTTAAACTTGTCTCTACTAAGTAAGTAACTTCACATCTGGCCGGTATAGTCATGTAAGTATTGTTGCCGAGTTGCCCCATTTGTAATGGGATAACAATGGGTACGTCATGATTAATTGTCAAATATTTCGCTCAAAATCTAATATGCAATTAAATCTACTCAAGAATCTTGTCCTAATATACCATCTGTTCTACAAGTAAAGTTCTTAAATACATAAAACCTATGCTCGAACTCATAATTATATAATTCAATTTAAGATAAACAAAACCATCACAATACACATGACCACCTATACCGTTTATTTTAATGCGCTCTATATGGAAAGGAATGTGCAGGCTCTCTAACGCCTCCTGCCTAATTATGGACACTGACGCGCCGGTATCAAGTAACCAACTACGCGACACGTGGAATACATCTAAATTAATAGAGTTAATATTGTGGCAATAAAAATGTTCATGCACGAAAAAACAAGTTATTATTTTGATTTTCATTCTGCACTTCAGGATTTTCTTGTAAACGCTCACTACCACTCGACTCAGCTAGCCTAATTTGGTGTTGACGAGCCGGGCGACGAAACGTTGTGTGGCCACGAAAACCACCGCGACCGCGATAATTGGATGAATTATTAAAGTTACGTACACGATTGGAACCATTGTAATAACCACGACTGGGATTATTATAATTTTGAGAGTTAGAAAACACTCTAGACGCACCCCTGTTAAAACTATTATTATAATTAC